GTTGGGCTGGTGCTCGCTGCAGAAGTGGAGGCAGGTGCCCCAGGCTGAGTTCCCGGTGCTGGCTGGCTTTTGGGGTTCCGAGTTTGGGTGGGGACTGGGCGCCAAGCAGGTACACAGACCTGTTGGGGAGGCGTGGCGACCAGTTGGGCTTCTGGCTTATTCTAAACTCTGCTATCAGGAATGACTCATACCAGGGTTCAGAGTACAATATTGTTTGCCATGGATCAAAACATAGATCTTCTCTTGATTGTTCAGTTCATGAACCTTGATTAGATTATTGCAATAAAGCAATTTACTGTCATAATTTGTAGTCTTTATATGTAATTGCAAGGTTTGCCTTTCCTTTTAAAGAATATTTTTAATATTTATTAGAAAGCTTGTTTTAAGTTTGGTAAATTACTAAGCTGTTTGTTGTCCATGAATATTTTTGTAGTTCCTTCAAATCGTGATGACAGTTTAGCTATATACAGTATTCATGGCAGGTCTTTCATTTCATTAACCATTTAAAACTGTATCCCAACATTCTCTTCTGTCTTGTAGAGTATAATTTAATGGATATTCTGTGAATCTCATGGTGTTTTGTATGTATAAAAGTTCCTACTTTGATTTTGCTACTTGGAATATTCTGTCTCTGCTTTGGTTTTTGTCACATTGATTTCAACTTGTCATGGATTTTCTCTAAAATTAGTTGGTTCTCTCTTTGCTGGGACCATTTGGGCTTCATGAATCTGAGTGTATATATAGCTCAATATTATCAAATCTTATAAGTCTTATCAAAATATTCATAAATATTATCTATTAATATTTTGATAGTGGTTTTCCATTGAATTTTCTTCCCTGTTCCTCTGGATCTCCAATACTCTTGTATTATTCCTCTTGAATGCATTCCTTAATTGTATTATGTACTTTTCATTTCTTTTTTGACTTTCCTATATCTGTTGATTTTTGATTTCTATCCTGTATCATATCTTTTAATGGAACAGAAAATAATTCCCTAATTTTTCTGTCAGCTATTGTTATTCTGTTGGTGAGGTCTTACATTGTTTTTATTTCACCTGCCAATCTCTTTGGATCTGTTGGTCTAATTTTAATTTTTTTAATTCTTTGTGCAAACTTTCTTGTAACTGTATAAGTGTTTCTTTGAGCTCATTATACATCTGCATCATAGTGATTCTAAAGTATTTATCTATGAGATTATAGAATTGGGTGAGTTGTTAGAGTATTCTGGGCCATTATCTTCAACCATTGGACTTTATAGACTTTTGTACAGTATCCCCATTGTGTCTGTTTTTATACAGTATCCCCATAATATCTGAGTCAAATTTTCTCATTGACTCCCTTAAAAGTGCCTTTAATTTAAAAGAGGTGAGGGGTACCATAAGATTTTTAACTTCCACTGTGATATTAGTGTCTTCAGTTTGAAGTAGAAAGAATAAGAGTCTCACACAGCAACACTGTTGAGTATCCAGCAGTGGAGGGTGAAGTTAGGACTAAATTTTGCTCACCTTTGTATCTCTGTTAGCTATGTCTTTAGGCTAGGGTATAACATCCTTCCTGGGTTCCTTGATGGCTCTGCAGAATTCATGCTCTGTTGGGGTGCTAATCTGATTATTGCTAGTTTTGGAGAAGATTCTGTGAAGTAGTAGCCATGCAGGCAATGCTCAAGGTTATCATTGTAGTTGTGCCTGAACTATAAGTCTATGTTCTTAAAAAATATTTTAGTGGGGCTAGAGCAACAATATGGTGGGTAGAGGGGGAGGGTGCTTGACTTACACAAGGCAAACCCGAGTTTGATTCCCAGAAAGCTACATGGTTTGCTGATTAAATGAGGAGTGACCCCTGAGTGCAGGCCCAAGATCAAGTCCTGAGGATTGACAAGTGTGACCCACCCCCAAATTATAGTTTATGTCATATATTTTTGGCTTTAGGGGTCACACCTGGAGATGCTCAGGGGTTACTCCTGTCCTTGCACTCAGGAATTACTCTTGGCATTGCTTGGAGACCATATTAGATGCCAGGGATAGAACCCAGATTTTCACATGCAGGACAAATGCCCTACCTGCTGTCCTATTGCTATGGATTAGTCTGTTTCCTGATCCATTCAGCCAGTCTTTGTATTTTAATAGCACAGACAGGTCAGTTCATTAACATTCAAGGAGACTAATGGTCTGAAGTAGTTTATTTACATTTTTCTTTGAGGATTTGTCACTTTTGCTTTTTGACATTTGTTTTATAAAATTTCATATTCCCTTCAATATCAAATTTGGTGGAATAAATAGATGCAGCAGCTTTTTCTCTGAGGATGTTTTTATCCCTTCCTCAAATCTACAAACTCCTTGCATAATCACTCCTGTCTCTGTGCTTATAGATGGGCAGTGCCAGGGATCAAGCTGAGAGTAATCATGAACAACTTAAATACATGAACACTTGTGGTATCTCTCCAACCCTAAACAAGAAATATAAATAAAGATTTCTTGATGTCATCAATATACATGCAATGACTCACTGCCCACAGAAAACTGAAAATAAGTTATTCTATAGCATAGTAGAACATTAAAGAGAATAGACCACATACTAGTCTGTAATTCACGTACATATGTATATACATATATATTTATAAAAATTATCATCAAAACAATTATTTCCTCAGACAACAAAGATACAAATTAAGCATGGAAAGAAAGTGGGAAAGCTCTAATTGGAAACTGAACGATGTGCTGTCTACATGACTATTAAATCAGAGGAAATAAAAGAAGAAATAAAGAGTCTTTAAATGGAATGAAAATGAGAATACAAAAATATCAGAATCTATGTGACATATCAAGAGCAGTATATGTGGAAGAATTTCAAATTAATGACTTACATTTAGAGCTTGAGAAAGTAGAAAAAGAAAAAGTAATCCTAAAATAAGGGGAAGAAAGAACATACCAACACTTAGATCAGAAAATAATGCTAAAGAAATCAAATAATCAGTCAAAAATCAATGAAACTAACAGGTTTGTTTGTTTTGTTGTTTTGATATTTTTCAAGTTACACTTTGCAGTGCTCAGGGATTACTCCTGGCAGATATAGGGGAACATAAAAATATATGAAGATACACGCGTTTGCACCTGAGTTAGTTCTATGCAAGGCGAGTGCCTTATCCAATTTCTCCAGTCCCCAAAGAGATATACATATCTATACATATATATACATATATATATATATACTAGTCAAAGTAGGCACATTTTACTAGATTTATAAGCAATACAAATAATAAACAAAATCAGGAGCTGGTTCTTTCAAAGTATAAATAAGATAGACAACCATTGGCTAGTCTCATGAGAAAATAAAGAAAAAGTGCTCAAATAAATTGTATCAAAAGGACAGGGATAAATTACATTAAATCACCAGAAATCCAAGACATCATGAGAATTTACTATGTACACCTCTACTCTGTTAAGCTAGAGATTTTAGAAGAAATAAACAAATTCCCAGCATCACAAAACTGAATGATGAGGAAGGAGAGAGTCTGAACAGGCTAATTACAAGTAGGAAATTGAAATACTGTTTAAGAATCTCCCCAAAATTTTAGCCCTGACCCAGATGGATTTATTAATGAATGTTATAAGACATTGAGAAAAGACTAAATGACACTAATCCTTAAGTTTTTACAAGCCAACAGGGAAAAAGGATTTCTTCCTAACATTTTCTAAGAAGCCAACATTATACTAACATCCAAAGCTTACAAAGATATTACCAAAAAAAGAAAATTTCAGACCAATCTCCGTGATGAACTTTGATGCAAAAATCCTCAGCAGAATCTTAGAAAAACCAAATCCATTATCACATAGAAATAAAAATCATACTTGATCAAATGGGAATCATCCATGGATGCAAGGATGGTTCAAAACATGCAAATCAATTAACATAATAAACCACATCAGTTAAAGAAAGATAAAAATCATAAAATCATATCAATTGATACAGAGAAAGCTTTTGACAATATCCAACATCCATTAAAGGTATCACAATCACGATCATCCAGTTGTTCATCAATTGCTTCGAGCAGGCCCCGGTAACATCTCCTTCGTCCTAGCCCTGAGATTTAAAAAAGGGCCATATTAAAGGCTCTTTCAGGGTTAGGAGAATGAGACCCATCATTGTTACTGGTATTTGGCATATTGGGTATGCCACGGGGAGTTTGCCAGACTCTGCTGTGTGGGCAAGGTAACATTTGGAAACCTGCCAGGTGGTCCAAATTAAGAATGAGATAATAAGATGTCACGTGGCCGTATTTGCGGCCAAGCACTTCCGGGAGCGGGGTTTTATAGTCTCTGAGTCTTGGCCGTTGATGGAATTACACAGCGCTGCGGGTCAGTTGGTGGGTGTGACCCCTGCCTACTGGAATATGGAGGATCTGGGTGGAGGATGCTCAGCCCTGATCCGAGCAGGCTTGGAGATCTCAGCCCCAGGACCCGATGCCTTTGTTCCTCTGCTGGTACCTTCATGCATGTGGAGAGTGGTCTCAGCATGGTGGTGGCTGCTTCTGGAGGTCTTTGGCTGCCAGAGCTCTGTTCGGGGCAGGGAGGGAAACTCAACCCGCCCCCATCCAAGGGGCCACAGCAAGGACAGACAGCCAGGGGGGCAGGAGACACTTCGCTGTTCTCTTCCGGGAGCTGGGTTTTATAGTCTCTGGGTATTGGCCGTTGATGCGATTACAGGGTGCTAGGGGTCAGATGGTGGGTGTGACCCCTGCCTACAGGAAGATGGAAGATCTGGGTGGAGGACTCTCAGCCCCAATCCGAGCAGGCTTGGAGATCTCAGCCCCGGGACCCGCATGCCTTTGTTCCTCTGCTGGTACCTTCATGCGTGTGGAGAGTGGTCTCAGCATGGTGGTGGCTGGTTCTGGAGGTTTTCGGCTGCCGGAGCTCTGTTCGGGTAAGAGCCTTCAATAAAATAGGAGGGGTGGAAGAAAAGATTTTTGAATTAATAAGTGTTATCTCTAAAATCCCATATCCATACTTACCTGGCAGGGAGAGATACTATGATCACAAAAGTAGTTTTCCCAGCTCAAGACTTATTCATTGCATTCCAGATGTCCTGAAATCTGCAGTTTCCCCAAATATGAGAAACTAGACTGCACTTTTTTAGATACTGGGAGACTGCGTTTGCCCTCATCCTTGTTAAAAAATAGCCCATATTGTATGTGATACAGATGCTGAAAGGTTATCATGTATATCTCTTTAACTACTTGCAACACTTAGTTCTTGTCTAGAGTGATCATTTCCACCTAGAATTGTCATAATGCATAGTCTTCTATTTAATTACCATTCATCTCCCACACACTTGTCCAACCATTACAAGTACTCCTGTATCACAAACCAAAATGCCTAAAATGAAAGAGAGAAAAAGAAAGAGAGAAAGATGAGAGGTTCCTTCTATAAAGGCAGGCTGGGGTGGGGGTTGGCTTGAAGAGGTGGGAGGGAAACTGGGAAAACTGGTGCTGGGAAATTACACTGGTGGAGGGATGTGTGTTGGAACATCGTATGACTGAAATGCAGTTTTGAAAAATTTGTAATGCTCTATCTCATGGTGATTCAATTTTTAAAAAAGCTCATAGCAAATATTGCTCTTAATGGTGAAAACTTGAAAGTATTTCAACTGAAATCAGGTACAAAACAACTATGTCCCCTCTCTCCACTTTTATTCAAGAATGTTTTTAATGGCCAGGCGACAGCACTCAAACAAGAAAAACAAGTTAAAGGTATACAAATCTGGAAAAAGCAAATCATATTATCTCCATGTGCAAAAGATACGATGATATAGTTTGAATTCCTAAAGAGATCACATACAAGCTCCTAGAAACAATAAAACAGTACAGTAGAGTGGCAGCTACAACTTAATGCACAAAAACTGGTCGCATTCCTATATTCAAATAATGTGTCAGAGGAGAAAAAGATCAATGATTCTCTCTCATTTAAAATAGTATTGGGGCTGGAGCAATAGCACAGCGGGTAGGGCGTTTGCCTTGTACGTGACCAACCCGGGTTAGATTCCCAGCATCCCATATGGTCCTCCAAGCACTGCCAGGAGTGATTCCTGAGTGCAGAGCCAAGAGTAACCCCTGAGCATTGGCTGGGTGTTACCCTAAAAGCAAAAAAAAATAGTATTAAAAAAATTCAAGTATCTACATATCAACTTATTAAAAAAGTGATGAGAGACATATATCCTGAAAACTTCAAAAGATTAAATGAATAAATTGAAGAAAATCAAGGAAATAGAAAAAACATTTGAGACTTATAGACTGGAAGAATCAATGTTGACATTGGAAGAAACAATATTGTCAAATGACCAAATCACCTAAATTGCTATATAGGTTCAATGCAATCCTGATCCAAGTTCAGACAACATTATTCAAGACTTAGAACAATTATAAAGTCTATGTAGAATAATAAAATTCCATGCATAGCTAAAACCATATTGAATAACAGGAAACTGAGAGTCACCTTACACCTAACATGAATCTATATTACGAAGTCATAGTAAACAGAGCACTGTGGTACTAGACCCCTCTGAGTAATGGGACAGAATAGAATATTCATGGATAAGCCACACTATATATGGTCAGCTAATTTTTGACAAAGGAGCTCAGAGCATGGAATTGAATATAGACAGCCTCTTAAACAAATGGTAAATTTTTGACAAAGGATCTGAGAGCATGGAATAGGATATATATACTACCCGTTCAACAAATGGGAGAATTGGGTAGCCACACACAAGCAATGAAAGCTGAATCCTTATTTAAATTATTCCCAAAAACTCAAGTGAAAGTAGATAAAACACCTTGAGATAAAACACCTGAATCTACAAAGTGCTTTGAGGAAATTATGAGCAGAACAGTAAAAGACCTAGACCTCAGAGGAGTCCTTTGTGAAATGATAACGATGACAAGGATTATGGAATCAAAACTAAATAAAATGAGACTGCGTAAAACTATAAAGCTTCTGTATGGCAAAAGAAACATGGACTGAAAATAAAATACAGCTTAGTGGGAGAAAATATTTACACTCAAGACATAAGATAAATGATTGATATCGAGAATATAGAAAGACCAACAAAAAATCCAAAAGTCTCATAAAAACTGGGGAGAGAAAGTGAACAGAAACGTCTTTGAGGATAATAAACATGTTGTCAACAAGCAAATTAAAAATCCTCATCCTCACTTATTATTAAGGAAATCCAAATCAGGAAAACAATGAGATATGTTATATCAGAAGAATGGCATGTATAAAATACTGGAAAATTGTCAATTGGTGGAGATGCAGTGAAAAAGGAAACCTCATCCACTGCTGGTGTATTATTGCTTGGTCCAATCCCTATGGAAAACAATCAGTAGCTATGCAATAAACTCAGAATAATTTCCATATGACCCAGCAAATACACCTTTGGGTATCCATCTCAAGGACAGGAAAACATTCATTCAAAAGAACATATGCTTATGGTACATTTCCACAAAAAATATATGCAGCCACCAGGAAAAATAAAATCATTAAATTCGTTTTTAAATGGAAGGACATGGAGAGTATCATGCTGAGTGAAATGAGTCAGAAGGAGAGGAACAGACATATAAAAAAAGCACTCATGTGGTATATAAAAAACAGCATGAGACTAATACCCAAGGACAGTGGAAACATGGGCCAAGAGAAATTGGTATTTTTTTGGAAGATTGCCTCAAGTTCTTGGGGAAAAAGGCAGTTGGGATAGAGAAAGGACCACTATGACAATGACAGATGGATATGATCACTCTGTAATAAACTGCATGCTGAAAGTAGGTAAAGGAACAAATATGATTACCTCTCAGGGCCTTTATTGCAAACCATAATGCCTAAATGGGGAGAGAGAGAGAGAGAGAGAGAGAGAGAGAGAGAGAGAGAGAGAGAGAGAGAAGAAATGTGCTTGCCATAGAGGCAGGCTGAAGTGGGGGTGGGGCAGGGGAAGAGGGAAACTGCGGAAATTGGTGGTGAGAAATGTATGCTGGTTTAAGGAGGGGAATTGGAATGTTTAATGACTGATGCTCAATAGCTTTGTAACAGTGTATCTAATGTGTAAAATCCCCTCACTCCCGTGAAGCTGTGTAAACTCCTTGCCTGCGGGGATTACACGTGAAAGGATGTTCGAGGGCTCTCCTGGCGGCTCTCTCTTTCCACCTGCATTCAGTGCTCTCGAGCAGCTTCTCCACCCAGGATGGCTGTTGCCTTGGACTGATGACAGAAGGAGGGCAAGCTCATTGTTGATTTGTTGCCATTTATTCAGTCTTTTGTCTCTCTCAGCCCTCTCCAGCCCTCTCTCTCTCTCTCTACCTGCAAAGTTCTTTCTTCCTGCTTTATCTGTCTCCTGTCTCTCCCTCTCTTCTCTCCTTCTCCATCAATCCACCTTTCTCCCTGGAGCTGCTCTAGCACAGCGGTAGGGCGTTCGCCTTACAAGCGGCCAACATGGCCGACCTGAGTTCGATTCCTCCGCCCCTCTCGGAGAGCCCGGCAAGCTACCGAGAGTATTCGATATGCCAGACACAGTAACAACAAAGTCTCCAATGGAGATGTTACTGGGCCCGCTCGAGCAAATCGATGATCAACGGGAGGGCCTTTCATTTTTTATTAATTTTTATTAGTGAAACACCATGAGGTACAGTTGTAGATTTACAAATTTTTGTCCTTGGGTTTCGATTATACAATGATCAAATACCCATCCCTCCACCAGTACCCACTTTTCACCACCATGGATCCCAGAATTCCTCCCACCCCCATCACTCCCATCCCACCCTGCCTCTGTGGCAAGGCATTCCCTTTTGTTCTCTCTCTCCTTTTGGGTGTTGTGGTCTGCAAAAGAGGCGTTGAGTGGTAATCATGTTCGGTCCATAGTCTACTTTCAACATGCATCTCCCATCCTGGGAGGATCCTCCCAACAACCTTTATTTGGTGCTCCCTTCTCTATCTAAGCTGCCCTTTCCCCTAGAAGGCCCGGCTGGCTTCTAAGCCATGGAGTAATCCTCCTGGTACTGATCTCGGCTATTCTTGGGTATTAATCTCCTATTTTGTTACTTTGTGGGGCAACCTCCAATCACCCTTGTAGGTGTTACCATATTTGAACCCTATCAAATATGGTATGAGAATTCCAGAAGATGGGTATTTAGTGTCTTATGATGTGTCGCGGGGCCGTGAAGCGGCTGCGCGTGTCCGGAAAGCGTGCTGGAGTGTGGCGATGGCTGGGTAGTGGAGGTAGTGTCCATAGTGGAAGTCAGCCAGTGGGGTATTTATCTGGGTAGGGTGGGTCTTCTGTGCGCGATCCGATCCCTGGGTGGTTGATGCAAGCAGACAGGGCAGGGTAGGGTGGGGCTCCTGCTTAGAATCCCTTTGTCACCTGTGGTTGGTGGGAGCAAGCAGAGAAACTCTGTTCCTGGGTCCGACGAGCTGGAGTCCATGGTCTCAGAGAGTTCCGCTTATCTTGTTCTGTGGGCCTTCAGTCGTGCGTGAGTCTTGGCCGGAGCTGCCATGCGGGTCCAGAAAGCGTCCTGGAGTGTGGCGACGGCTGGGTAGTGGAGGTAGTGTCCAAAAGCCACTAAAAGCCCAAAAGCCTCTATCTCTCTCGGAAAGACTGGCAAGCTACCGAGAGTATTCTGCCCGCATGGAAGAGCCTGGCAAGCTATCCGTTGTGTATTCGATATGACAAAACCAGTAACTACAACTGGTCTCATTCACCTGACCCTGAAGGCTTCACCGACATGGCAGCACTGAGAAGGATGAGAAAGGAGAGGCTGACAAAATCTCAAGGCCGAACTAGGCTGCCACAATGAAGGAAGACAAAAATGATCGTCGTACTTTCAATGCATTTACGCTAGCAACAGATGCATCCATCGAGGACCTGATGGTACAAGCGCAAATGATCAAGTACGTCATCATTGGTCTGACCGAGACAAGAAGGCACGAATCTCACCATGCCGTTTTCGACACTGGAGAAGAATTGTTCCTCGGAACATGCGATAAAAGAGGTGTCGGAGGCGTCATTGTCCTTCTCAACACAAACTTGGCCATGAGCATTGATTCATTTGAATGCCTAACAACCCGAATCGGACGTTTACATTTGAATAGATGTGGCTCACTGCCTGCAGTTTCTATCTCCGTTGTCT